ATCATTTCACCACAGGCACAGGAGTACCACTCTTCATTCTGAAAACACGTCTAAATACACAAATCATGACAGATATAGTAACTTTCTGCTATAATAATCATAACAAATGAGCCATACATAGAGATAGCTCAACTCAAGAAAGAAATTTACTCGTAGATCCAGGGGTGAAGGCTGCTCTTCCATTCAGCAATTCCTTCGGGAAACCATAGAGCAATCTCTTTCCTTGCGCTCTCCACTGCATCGCTACCGTGAATGACATTCCTGCAACCATATAAACACGTGTCTTATTTCTAGGCTCTTTTCGATTAGTGAAGCTTTAGTGACGAGGAACAAAAATAGAGAATTTCAAAGATGTTCTAATTCTGTAAACACATTGATAATTTTTTTCACATCTTATAAAAGTTAGGTACAAAATGTTTTATGGTGAGTTTAAAACACTGAAAATACAGCAATTTGCCTATGCTTTTTGAAAGATATTGAAACAGCAAATCATTAAATCACATCTGCCTTTAGATCCAAAATAAGACAAGCCATAGTTTTTTATGCACTCTGAGTTTTCAAAGTGCTAAACATCCAACACAGGCATTAACTATCTTTCACGGCAGTATGACGGAATATTCAACAATGGATACGATTAAAGAAGAGGGGGGTAAAATCTTGTCCTCTGTTCAGAGTGTTGTACAATATTTCGTAACAAACATGCCGTTAAAGAACATGTCTGATGAAATTAAAGAGTCCAGGGTCTTGACTCAAGCAAACAATACCAAGTATTTGAAGGACTAAATTAAAGCAAAAGTGTTAATTTTGATAAGAACAGAACTAGACTATGTTTTTGACATTAGCAAATAATTCCCCATGAAAATGAATCATTATTAAGAAAGCTGGCTCACCTGCCAATGTCAATGGCGTAATCACCACGGATGGTCCCAGGAGCAGATTCTGCAGGGTTGGTAGCACCAATGATCTTCCGACCAGTAGTAACTACATTCTTACCCTCCCAAACCATTGCAACAACGGGGCCAGATATGATGTACTCAACAAGCCCGTTAAAGAAGGGCTTAGCAGACAAATCTGCATAGTGCTTCTCAGCGAAAGGGCGATCTACGGTAATGAGCTTCAGGCCTGTATCCAAACAAAAATCAGAAATGCAAATAGGATTTTCCATATTGATCAAATGAAAGTAAAAGCATGATCAAATGACATGTCAACAGCTACATATCACAGAAAAAAAAGAGCTTGGGATGGTTCATGATATCATGAACCCAAAAGAAAAAGAAATTGAAAATAAAATAAGAACGCAAATGATTTCCTCATGTACGAAAAGAAACAAAAACAGAGAGCCCATCCCTCACCCATAACCTAGTTGTCTTTTTCCAAAAAAATATTGAGTTTTAACCACCAAAATGAGGGAACATCTACCAGGACCAACAGGGGTACAAAACTAAAAGGTTGGAGACGATTCTTTGAAAATAGAATGAGGACAAAGTTTCAACAAGGTCTACAGGTTGGGGAGCAATGGGGTGATTTTGTGCAATGACATGAAACTCGTATTCATAAAAATTTCTAATGCTATTTTGGCAGACCAATGTAAACAGATGTTTTTCATAATTAAAACTTTTTATATTCCAAAATTTACACAATCGGGCTTGTGCTCCTTGCTTGTTACAACTTAAAAAATATAACAAAAAACACATCACATTATGTATTGGAGACGTGTTGTGGGATGTTGGAAATTCTAAAAACAATACAAACAATAGGACATTCCAAGAGGTGTGCCATCACAAGTCCTAGCGAGTTTGACAAGTGTCAACAAACATCAGTACTCCACTTTAGGAATATCCATTCTTCATAGTCCATGGCACTTTCTTATCCAGCTTAACATAAAATAGACAGCTATAAGATAAAATAATACACATATATGTTTTCATATTCTACTCCTTATGTACTTCCATTGCTCATTGGCAGCAAAAATATTAAGAAAAAAGCTTCCCAACAGATTATCATTTCGATTTATTTCAAACATTAAAACAGAGTAGAAATAAATAGTCACCCCAAAGAAGAAGAAAATCAGGACACGATTATCGTGAATTAATATCCCATCATCGTGTACCATAAAGATAAGATGACTAATATGTAGTCTAAGAATACGTCTAACCTCTTTTCACCGTCAAATTTGAAACAAGTCAAAAAAAATGAAGGGTTCAGTATTTGGAGGGGTGGCAGAACTCCTTTGATCCAAGCATTTAAAAAAAAAAAAAACTCGAAGAAAACGAAGGAACAAGATAATTAAAGTGAAACACCATTAAAGACACCAAGTAATTGAGCAACAAAAATCTTCTTGCAATTGTACTACTTGTTAGAGTCATTGCTCCATAATAATAGAAGAAAAACTACATTTACCTTTCAAAGTAAAACCTTTCTTTTCAAATCTGCCAATAATTTCACCAACCTGAAACGCAACAATAATGTATTTAAGAGCTTGATTGGCTAAGCCTAAAAAAGTAAAAATACTTTAAATTAACTTTGTAGCCCCAAACATGTTACCATAATTTACCTTTTTCTAATTTTGAGTAAAACGATTTACTTTTTCAACTTTCACCAAAAAAATATTATTCATTTAAAACTGGATTTTTCACTTATATTTACTTAAAAAGTAAACAGTTTAAGCTTATAGCTATATTTCTCTTGAAATTCATTCGCACACAGAGCACGCTTGCTCCACTGGGTGTTTCTTAAACACTATTCCAAGAAAATCAAAACCAGAAATAACTTGCAATTCTTTTGCAGTTCCCAAACAAAAATAATTCCATTTCTTGTTTTTGCTTCCCTTCATAATTAATGAGCACTAGAAAGTTCCAAATCTGAAAACAAATACTCCTTGCAAGGAAACAAACAAACCAGAAATCAATTTATAAAATTTAACCATCCCATAAACAATAAAGTCCAAGATAAAACAAAAGGCAAAATCTTAAAAAATTGAACAGAAAAATAACACGCAGATCCAGAAAACTGAAAAAAAAAAAAAAAAAAAAGAGAAGATACCAGTCCTCTTTGGACGCCATCAGGCTTGATCATGATAAAAGTTTGCTCCATGGTTCTGTTTTCTTGAAGCCGCCAAGTACGTGAAGTTGAACTCGAGATGATTTATATATGAATTTTTCGCTAGGCAAAAACCCTAGAGTTGCCCAGTGGAATATTCTGTTTGAAACCCATTTTCATCCATTTTTTCCTCGATCAATTTTCAAAAGTTGTGGGACCCACGTACCTTGACAATCAATTTCCATTCGATAATGTTTACTTCTCACTTGCGAGAATTGACCTTTATCACATATTTTATTTAAAACTAGTTTTTGCCCTTGCATTAATTTGAAGGTTATATTAGCATGNGTTTCTTAAACACTATTCCAAGAAAATCAAAACCAGAAATAACTTGCAATTCTTTTGCAGTTCCCAAACAAAAATAATTCCATTTCTTGTTTTTGCTTCCCTTCATAATTAATGAGCACTAGAAAGTTCCAAATCCGAAAACAAATACTCCTTGCAAGGAAACAAACAAACCAGAAATCAATTTATAAAATTTAACTATCCCATAAACAATAAAGTCCAACATAAAACAAAAGGCAAAATCTTAAAAAATTGAACAGAAAAATAACACGCAGATCCAGAAAACTGAAAAAAAGAGAGAGAGAGAGAGAGAGAGAGAAAAGATAGAGAGAATATACCAGTCCTCTTTGGACGCCATCAGGCTTGATCATGATAAAAGTTTGCTCCATGGTTCTGTTTTCTTGAAGCCGCCAAGTACGTGAAGTTGAACTTGGGATGATTTATATATGAATTTTACGCTAGGCAGAAACCCTAGAGTTGCCCAGTGGAATATTCATTTTTCCACCCAACTTAGCCTATGTTTCACATCCATTTTTTTCTCATTCTCATTCTCATTTCTTTCTCTTTCTTCATTTCAACCACATATTCTATCAATAAAATAATATTACACATAAACCCAAAAATTCTCCTTACTTTTTAACCATACATTCTTCCTTCAATCACTATTCCAAATCAAATTTCTTCCCTAAAATGCGTTTACACTTGTCGATATCTTTTGCCGTGTGTTAGAATACACAAAAATATTTCCACTTGTTCGTATATGTCAATGTTCGTACCGCTGGCAATGTCGTACTCATCATGCAGGATGTGCGTAAAGTACATAAACATCGGAGGATACATCTTAAATTCTTGAAAACACGTTTGTTGATACACATGCATATTTTGTAGCATAAAAATGTGGCTGCATCGCGTTGTCGGGAGCAAATATCGATGTGATCTATTAAGTGCACATTTGTGGATACGCATGCATATTTTGTAGCATGAAAATGTGGCTGCATCGCGTTGTCGAGACAAAATATCGATGTGCTCTATTAAATGCCAAGTATTCGCGAACAATTCGCTCGGTGATTCTACAGTATTGAAGTCACGTGTTAATGTCGTCCTCTAATTGGTGCATGAAATCTTCATCTGAACAAGTATTTGAATCAGACGTCGATTCAACGTTGCAGTTTGTTTCTGAAGAAAAGTACACCTCTAAAGTATCTAATATCTTTTACACTAATATGTATTCGGTAACAATGTCAAATATTCGTCACAGGGAATATATTCCCTACATTCCATGCTTTATTGTTTTTGTTTACTAGTAATAATGTGGATTTGAAAAACATATGTAAATGTGGAAAATTTGGTACTCATGCATAATTCTCACATCAAGATGCAAGAAATATATTTCCTGCGGTACATGCACCATCACCGCCTCACTATTTTCAGAACAGGCTTGTGCAAACAAAAATTGGTTTCGAAATGAAACAACATATTCTACACAAATTCGAAGTTACTATCCAACATCAAGTTAAAGATACAAGGATACTTAAACAAGGGCCTAGTACACATAAAATCGTAAGAAGAAAACGGAAAACACATTACACTGCAGCACAAACAACCAAACGGAACGCTCACCCCTTACGGTGAAGTGACAAACTATCCCGCTCGAAACAGTACTCGATGAACTTAAATCTCAAATAAGGTGTCTTGGCAGCACAATGCGAGTTACGATTTTCTTTGTCTTGTAGGAACCACGGGGCAAAGAGGTGGAGCCGATCACCTTCCTACACATGCCCAGACGACAAAAGTTCGTCAACGGACTCATCGACTGACATTCCGCCCTTATGATGCGATCTTGCAATTGAGGCAAGATCCGTTCCAACACTAACCAACTGCTCAAGTGACGCTAAAACCTCTCGGGAACAGTACATTTTCTTCTTTCCTTTCACCTTCCTGTGTTTCCATTTTCTTTTATACCCACTATGGTTTCCGGATATATTCATGGAGAATTAGCTCTACCTTCAACTGGGCCGCCGCTGGAATCCATTGCCTCCGCATTAATGGGATACTTGTCGCCTCTATACTCTCTGTCGCTATCCGTGCCTAAGTCAAAACCAAGTTGTGATAGCTTTGTTGGGGACAACGCATACTTGGTCGAGTCGTTGGTGTCCCCGAACAATTTGCCATATGTGTCATAGATCTCACTGTAGTTGAAGTTCATGTACTTCGCATACTTTGGGTTCTTCTACATAGACACGGTAGACGACAAATTACATTCGAATGCGAAAATGCGAAAGAAATACTCACTAGTGCATTAACATGTGTCTTTGGGTTATGCGGATGAAGGATGAATGAGAAAGCAAGCAAAGTATACATTCGACAGAACTTGTGCTCACATATATTAAATAATTGGAAGATGCTTTTTTTTTCCATTCATCATGTTCAATCAATTACCAACATAACCAACATTATCGTTAACTACAATTAACATCTCGAAAATAAGGAGCTGAAGTCGTTGATGATTAGTAACAAGCTTGGGTCGAAGTCCAGCTCCAGACTAAGGTGTTGGTTAATGTCTGCTCTAACCCTATGGCCTCCCTCTCTTCCAAATCAATATCTTCGTCAGAATCTGAGTCATCTTCTTTCTATCGATTATCTTTCAAGTTTGGTTGTTTCTCCATGGACTCACGCCTACCCTTCACAGTCAACGCAGTCATCGTCTACGTGAGTTTGCAAAGTGTTTCACGATGCCCTCGATTCGTTGTTCGAGTTTGTCAAGCCTCCGTTCGTCATCAACAGTTCAACTGCCACCAGTACTTTCGTCGACAATCAAATTAAGGTAATTTCCTTACTTTGATACCAATTTTGATATGAATGCGTTATGTGAAATTCTTGTAATAAGAATTATGTAATAAATAAGAACAATATTTAAATAATCATATCTTGTATATATTGAATAATA